CACAGAGAAATACATCTTAAAACATGATATTCTGTTCTTTTGAAATAAATTGTCTTAGTATCATGTTTTTTTATGACCTTCCTAAACAAAATATTAATGAATTTCTTTGTGATTGTGTATATTAAATGTATTAGACTGGCGGCTACTGGTAGGCTACTCGTTGAGTCCCGGCTATTCTACCGTTAATATGCATACCACGCAGCAGACCTTCATGGCGCTTTGAGGATTAAATAATTAGTATGTTTTTGTCTTTTATGATATTTATCTTAATGTAGGCCTACTGCTAGTGTAAAATACACATATTTCGGTAAATTCAGGGACAGGTGGGTTCAAGGTTTTTATTTAAATGAGCTGTAGGACTAAGAGTCCTGTTTACTGTAGCTGTCTTAACATAACTTACATATTGTCCTAAAGGCCTACTTCAATATACAGTGCATTCGGAAAGTATTCAGACCACTTGACTTTTTCCACATTTTGTTACGTTACAGCCTTATTCTAAAATTAATTAGTTTTTCCCCCCTCATCAATCTACACAAAATACCCCATAATGCCAAAGCAAAAACAGGTTTTTTGAATAAAAAATAACATTAAAAACTGAAATATCACATTTACATAAGTATTCAGACCCTTTACTCAGTACTTTGTTGAAGCAACTTTGGCAGTGATTACAGCCTTGAGTATGACGCACAAGCTTGGCACACCTGTATTTGTGGAGTTTCTCCCATTCTTCTCTGCAGATCCTCTAAAGCTCTGTCAGGTTGGATGGGGAGCGTCGCTGCACAACTATTTTCAGGTCTCTCCAGAGATGTTCGATCGGGTTCAAGTCGGGCTCTGGCTGAGCCACTCAAGGACATTCAGAGACTTGTCCCGAAGCCACTCCTGTGTTGTCTTGGCTGTGTGCTTAGGGTCGTTGTCCTTTTAGAAGGTGAACCTTCGCCACAGTCTGAGGTCCTGAGCGCTCTGTGGCAGGTTTTCATCCAGGATCTCTGTACATTGCTCCGTTCATCTTTCCCTCGATCCTGATCAGTCTCCCAGTCCCTGGCACTGAAAAACATCCCCACAGCATGATGCTGCCACCACCATGCTTCACCGTAGGGACCTTCAATGCTGCAGAAATGTTTTGGTACCCTTCCCCAGATCTGTGCCTTGAAACAATCCTGTCTCGGAGCTCTATGGACAATTCCTTCGACACCATGGCTTGGTTTTTGCTCTGACATGCACTGTCAACTGTGGGACCTTACATAGACAGGTGTGTGCCTTTCCAAATCATGTCCAACTTGATGGTATAGCAATAGCCTAATAAACTTAAAATTAACTTTAATCATCTCTCTTCATTTTACCCACAAACAAAATCACTAATAGTCTAGTATAGTCCCATATAGCTCCCAGTGCCATGCTCTACCAACTGAGCTACATGGGACTATTAGTGATTTTGTTTGTGGGTAAAATGAAGAGATGATTCAAGTTAATTTTAAGTTTATTAGGCTATTGCTATACCATCAAGTTCGTAAAATAACTCCAGCACAGAGAAGAGAAAGGAGCCTTAATAATAATTAAACAATAAATAAACCGCAACATGTCGACTAAAGCAATTGAAATCAGGAATTAATTCAACTGTTTTTAATCTTGACTGTACAATGACTAATGCCTTTTTTGTTAGAACAGACTATATGGGATTGATTATAATGTTTGTAAATTATTCTTGTATTTGTTGTTTACACTGTACAAAATGGTCAGAAAAAAGAACAAAGATGAATCATACTGTAATAAGCATGCAGAGATAGCTCCTCCTACCCTCCTCGATCTTCTTCATGTCATTATCATTAGTAGGCAAACATCCATTAAACACCCACTAATACATTTCAAGTCCCTAAAAATAGAAATCAACTTGGCAAGTGTCTATTGTCCAGCTAATAGCCCATCATGGGTGGATAGCTTATTTTGTATTCTAATGTATTGAATGAATGTATTAATACAGTATGAAAAATGTATGCACTCACTAACTGTAAGTCACTCTGGATAAGAGCGTCTGCTAAAATGACTCAAATGTAAAATTGACAATTCTCATTCTCGGAGTGGAAACGTTGTTTGCAGAGTTCACAACCTGCTACACTTGTGAAAAACAGGTGTTTGAAAACATGTTTTCAAAATGCCTCCAGCTCACATTGTAAAGTGGTGGGTGACGCGCTGATAGCCTGTTGCCTGCACTTGAATGGTTAATGGGAGGCATGCTTCAATTACCAGTTGAGAAATACAATTATGCAAATTATTCTATAGACTGATAAGCATGACGGTCAAATGTATTTACACCCAGAAATTGGGTGAAATTATTATGTGGACTATAATACATTTACATATTTGTAGGGGTTGTTGCATTTGTCATTGCATCTGGATGGCCAGATACAAATTAGTTTCAATCACCAATTTGCTATTATGAAGGTTTCGGCAGTATTCTAAAAAATAAAAAATACAGCAGTGGTAGAAATATATTATTGAATTAGATTTATTTTTTACTGTTTCAAAATGCATATGTTCATTAGGCTACTGTGCAATGTGACAAAAACCAATAAGACAATTAGATTTTTACTGTAGCCTACATATACTGTATACCTACAGTTGAAGTCTGAAGTTTACATACACCTTAGCCAAATACATTTAAACTCAGTTTTTCACAATTCCTAACATTTAATAGTAGTACGAATTCCCTGTCTTAGGTCAGTTAGGATAACCACTTTATTTTAAGAATGTGAAATGTCAGAATAATAGTAGAGAGAATGATTTATTTCAGCTTTTATTCCTTTCATCACATTCCCAGTGGGTCAGAAGTTTACATACACTCAATTAGTATTTGGTAGCATTGCCTTTAAATTGTTTAACTTGGGTCAAATGTGCCGGGAAGCCTTCCACAAGCTTCCCACAATAAGTTGGGTGAATTTTGGCCCATTCCTCCTGACAGAGCTGGTGTAACGGAGTCAGGTTTGTAGGCCTCCTTGCTCGCACACGCTTTTTCAGTTCTGCCCACAAATTTCCTCTAGGATTGAGGTCAGGGCTTTGTGATGGCCACTCGATTACCTTGACTTTGTCGTCCTTAAGCCATTTTGCCACAACTTTGGAAGTATGCTTGGGGTCATTGTCCAATTGGAAGACCCATTTGCTACCAAGCTTTAACTTCCTGACTGATGTCTTGAGATGTTGCTTCAATATATCCACATAATATTCCTTCCTCATGATGCCATCTATTTTGTGAAGTGCACCAGTCCCTCCTGCAGCAAAACACCCCCCACAGCATGATGCTGCCACCCCCGTGCTTCACGGTTGGGATGGTGTTCTTCGGCTTGCAAGTTCCCCCTTTTTCCTCCAAACATAACAATGGTCATTATGGCCAAACAGTTCTATTTTTGTTTTATCAGACCAGAGGACATTTCTCCAAAAAGTAAGATCTTTGTCCCCATGTGCAGTTGCAAACCGTAGTCTGGCTTTTTTTATGGCGGTTTTGGAGCAGTGGCTTCTTCCTTGCTGAGCGGCATTTCAGGTTATGTCGATATAGGACTCGTTTTATTGTGGATATAGATACTTTTGTACCTGTTTCCTCCAGCATCTTCACAAGGTCCTTTGCTGTTGTTCTGGGATTGATTTGCACTTTTCGCAAGTACGATAATCTCTAGGAGACAGAAAGCGTTTCCTTCCTGAGCTGTATGACGGCTGCATGGTCCCATGGTGTTTATACTTGCGTACTATTGTTTGTACAGATCAACGTGGTACCTTCAGGCGTTTGGAAATTGCTCCCAAGGATGAACCAGACTTGTGGAGGTCTACCATTTTTTTTCTGAGGTCTTGGCTGATTTCTTTTCATTTCACCATGATGTCAAGCAAAGAGGCACTGCGTTTGACGGTAGGCCTTGAAATACATCCACAGGTACACCTCCAATTGACTCAAATGATGTCAATTAGCCTATCAGAAGCTTCTAAAGCCATGACATCATTTTCTGGAATTTTCCAAGTTGTTTAAAGGCACAGTCAACTTAGTGTATGTAAACTTCTGACCCACTGGAATTGTGATACAGTGAATTATAAGTGAAATAATCTGTCTGTAAACAATTGTTGGATACATTACTTGTGTCATGCACAAAGTAGATGTCCTAACCGACTTGCCAAAACTATAGTTTGTTAACAAGAAATGTGTGGAGTGGTTGAAAAACAAGTTTTAATGACTCCAACCTAAGTGTATGTAAACATCCGACTTCAACTGTAGGTCTCCTGATTTAAACCTGATCAAACTTGATTGGCATCAACTGAAAACATTCATCTGTAACTCTGCCAAGCCTACAAGCAAAGATGAACTGGTGAATGCCATCAAGACGTTTTGGCTTGAGAATCCGATGATAATACAATGCAACAAACACACAGATCATCTCAGCAAGGTTTTACCTGTGGTCGTGGAGCTGGGGGAAAGTAACTAAAATGTAGTTTAAATAAACATCTGCATTTTGAAAGAGTCTTTATCTTAATTATTTTATTAACATAAAAAGATGTTGATGAACTAACGGAGATTCAGTGAAAATAAAGATCTGACATTGACATCAAGGGTGGATGGCTTCTTTGGTATTCCAATTTATTGGAAAGGCTGCTAAACCATTTCCACAGCGTTGTAGCGTACTCACAGTACAGCGTTGTAGCGTATTCACAGTACAGCGTTCTTTCACTCCATTCTCCACCAGATGCTTCTTTCTGTTGTTGTGATCTATTCCGTAACAAGTAAATGAATCAAATAGTGCAGGTCTTGAAAATATGTGAAAACCTTTTTTTGAATTGTATTTTATCTTTGCCTAATAGCCGAGGCCAGTTAACCGCGCCATTAACTTGTTTATTTAGCAGACATCACTTGCTGCTTATATTCAGTCACCACATATATTTTATGAAGATAACTGAACATTTTAGTTTCACTTAGAATAAAAACCTTAGTTTACAACAGTTTTAGTAAGTAATAAACTACGGTTCAGTTACAGCTTCTTCTGATGAAGTATAAACAAAAAAATAAGTGTCTTTTTTTGGGTGTGCACGCAGGACAGAGGAAGAGCAATTCTTACACTAATCTTCTAAATTCAATCACCCTCTTCTTCTTCATCCTCATCATTCAGTTAATTCAAATCCAATTGTGAAGTCGTGCACAATTATCCGTTTCTATTTGGTTTCTATTGCCCATTCATTGACAGCATTCATTCAGGTAGAGACACATTAGCACCTCGTGACCAACGCTTTACACTGTACCCAAAAGCATCATCAGCGCAAACTTCCCCTTGCAGTGGTCTGGAGCAATGAAGCAGTGACGCAGGGTAACATACTAAACCACAACTTACCTCAATGTCCTGCGGCATAATCTTGAAACTTTTAATTGAGAAACCACTGTAGGTGTTAGGGGCATGTGGATTGTAGGGTGGGGTGACCTCTAACCTGGTGAGCTGTGGGGCTGTGTCACTGCTGGGGGAGACAGGCAGCCGAGCCTCGCCCTCACTGGAGCCCCCAACAGGTGTGGTCCTCTTGGCCCAGGCGTTCTCCTTGGGGGGCGGGGCAAGCACCACCTTCAGGGGCTGCCCGTCCTGTCTGGGAGGGGAGGGCAGGGTCGCAGGGGAGGAGGGCTCCTCTTCACGACCACTGTCCACCAAGCGCTCGCTCTCCCTGCGCTTGGAGGCTGGCAATGGGACAGGAAGAAGAAAATATGACTTTATTGTCCAATGTCCACAAATGTCCAACATGACATTTGTATTCTGCTTTTAGACAAACCCTCCGAAAGAAGTCTGCTTAAACCACCACATTACCCTCCAAAGACATCTCAGTGACTACAGTACTGATATAATGGCTGACTGCATCAGCCATCATAGCCAGTAAAACTCTCACCTCTGCCAGACTGGCTGCCTGGTTGGGAAGACTCGCTGCCAGTCCGAGAGCGTTCTGCAGGTTGGTCTTCACTGCGCCAGCTGGGGTGCCTGAGGGATGATCAGGATCAATGAGTCAAGGATAACATACTATACATGAGGTTAATTCTTTACTCCATTTCCTCACGTTCGCCTACGCTCTTCTGTCCTTCGTGACATACCTCTCTCTGGGCTTGCGGTCTGGGATTCTGTCCTCTAGCTGTCGCTGCAGTTTCTCCTGTTCCCTCTTCAGCCTCTCCTCTACCTCTCTCTCCTTGGCGGCCGTGTCCACAGGCTTGGCCCCGCCGAAGATGGAGGCAGCCCTGCCTGAGGGGGCAAACGGGGTGTTGCTCTGCTCCACCTCTTTGGGTACGCTACGGGGCTTCAGGATCAACTTGGGCCTCTCGACAGCACCTAGGAATTGCCAAATAGGGTACAAAAGGTAGAACAGTTTGACTGTGCCGGTGCACATGAAGAATGAGGTAGTTTAATATTAAAATACATTTTCTCACCTCTGTCATCCCGGCTTTCCTCCCGTCTCTCGTATCGATCACCACCACGGTCACCATAGCGATCCCCACTAACCCGGTAGTCATCCCGTCGGTAGCTATCCTGCCGGTAGCTATCCTGTCCTCCCTCATCGCGCCTGTAACCAGTGCCAAACGCCCTGCGACCACCACCACCGCCACCAAAACCACCTGAGGGAAACCGCAAAAATACTTTATTAGTAAGCCTTCTCACTAAAATGCTGAATGTGTATAGGTGTAGTCGTGTAAGGCCAGGCATCCCAACTGACCTCCTCTGTCATCTCTGCGATCCCGGTCATCATAGCGATCCCTGAACCTGTCCTGGCCCCCTCCGTAGCGATCATCTCCTCTAGGCCTGTCTGACTCATAGCGGTCCCGTGACCCTGGAGCAAACAGCAGACAGAGAGGGGGGTTAGGGGGCCCATTTTCCCCACATAGAGGACATGAGGTTTCTGACCTGTACTGTACTCACGGTCTCCAAAGGCGTCGTCTCTCCGAGGCGGCCCGTCGTCACTCTCTCCTCCACTGGGCCGCGGAGCCCTCCAGTCATCACAGTCTGTCTTGTCTGGACCAAAGTCTCCCCCCCGGTCCCTGTCCCGACCCCCCATGGAGTGATTATCCCTCCCTGAGAAAGGCACATAGACGAGTCAGAAAGGAAGTGGAGACAAACTCTTCAGATGCTTAATCAAGTTAATCTGAACTACGCAAGTGTGTGCAGAATGTAAAGCTGCAAAAATGTGTATGGTAGTACCGTAGCTTCACGATAAGACACACACCTTTATCATTAGACTGGTCTGCAATGTCCACACGGATACTTCTGTTTCCTAAGTTCTGCATGGAGAAAGAGTAAACTACATTAAAAGGTCCAATGCAGCCGTTTTTATCTCAATAGCAAATCATTTCTGGGTAACAATTAAAGTACCTTACTGTGATTGTTTTCAATTAAGATGGTCAAAAATAAACGAAAACAGCTTAGCAAAGAGCATATAAAAAAAAAATATATAATAATATATATATACACTTATTTTACATGACAAAACATACACATACAAACAATAGCATACAGAAACCCACAAACATCAACTACATCACACCTGCCCAGACCCCCCTGCCCACACCCCCATCTCCGGCACCCGCATCACTCTCCGCCACATGGCCTCAAACTGCACCATTTTGTTTCTCTCCGTCGCCCACAGGCACTTTCAACATTTAGATAATAAAGCATTCAACCTTTTCATTGTGTTAACGATGGAGGATTGGTTGATTTTCCAGTTAAGTATGTGTTTTTTCAAGATGATTGACAAGAAAAGTATCGTCCAACCCATCGGGTATATCACTGCATCCTCATATGCCATGTCTTGAAATAAATATGCAGACAGATTAAAAGTACATTTACATTGTAAGCCAATTTTCTAACTCCGCCCATAACTTTTGGACTTTATAGCATTCCCAGAATAATTATTGAGTCACTAGCTAGGTTTCCATCCAATTGGCGACAGATTTTCATGTGAACATTTAAAAAATATGCATAAAGAAAATATGCACATTTCCCCACCAGTGGTGTTTCCACCAAACTGACTTGTTGCAGATAAAAATCAGTGTGTGATGACGTAGTGCACATAAAAAGTTATTTTCCGGTTACGTTTTCATATACCAAATAAAAATCTAAAGTTAAATTTCTGTCCATCGCATTTCCACTCTACCGATAGTTTGTCACAAAAACTGTTGAGTTAAATAGCTTGGCACGTGCTCTCTAGAAAACAACAGATACAGTGCGGGTAGGCTGTGCAGGTAGGCTAGGCTACATGATGAGATTATTATGGGTAAGAGCGAGAATATTTTTATTGGTCAAACAGCAGTCAAGCATCGATCATCCTGTCACCAGAAGAAGACCCTCGATATTTATTGGAAAGGTGCATCAAGCTCATCACCTTGCACTTTCACCACCCTGTGAAGTTCATAACTTCTTTCATCTGTAGCCTAATAAACTGCATGCTTTCCTCATGAGTCGTAGTGGGAGGACCACAACATCTCATCGCGTGACTCCCAAGTTTACATCGACATGATGGTTATTATACTGAACAAAAATATCAACGCAACATGTAAAGTGTTGGTCCCATGTTTCATGAGCTGAAATAAAAGTTCCCAGAAATTGTCTGTGCGCACAAAAAATGTATTTCTCTCAAATTGTTTACATCCCTGTTAGTGAGCATTTCTCCTTTGCCAAGATAATCCATCCCCCTGACAGGTGTGGCATATCAAGAAGCTGATTAAACAGCATGATCATTACACAGGTGCACCTTGTGCTGGGAAAAATAAAAGGCCTCTCTAATATGTGCAGTTTTGTCACACAATGCCACAGATGTCTCAAGTTGAGGGAGCATGCAATTGGCATGCTGACTGCAGGAGCATCAACCAGAGCTGTTGCCAGAGAATTTAATGTTAATTTCTCTACCATAAGCCGCCTCCAACGTCCTTTTAGAGAATTTGTCAGTACGTCCAACCAGCCTCACAACCGCCGACCACGTGTAACCACGCCAGCCCAGGACCGCCACATCCGGCTTCTTCACCTGCGGGATCGTCTGAGACCAGCCACCCGGACAGCTGATGAAACTGTGGATTTGCACAACCGAATAATTTCTGCACAAACTGTCAGAAACCGTCTCTGGGAAGCGCATCTGCGTGCTCGTCGCCCTCACCAGGGTCTTGACTTGACTGCAGTTTGGCATCGTAACCGACTTCAGTGGGAAAATGCTCACCTTCGATGGCCACTGGCACGCTGGATAAGTGGAGTATTTCGGTCTGTAATAAAGGCCTTGTGTGGGGAGGCCTGGCTCCCAAATGGATGCGCCCCTGCCCAGTTGTGAAATCCATAGACTAGGGCCTAATTTATTTATTTCAATTGACTGATTTCCTTATACGAACTGTAACGCAGTAAAACCATTGAAATTGTTGCGTTTATATTTTTGTTCAGTATATATATATATATATATATATATATATCAATATTTGTCCATAAAACCGTTTCCACCAACATTTCTCGCATAATTCATTTAACAGACACGAAAAGATGCCTCCTTGTCTAGCATACCTTGTCGACATTTGGAAAGTTTACCAACAAATGTTCTGTTTCCATCAGGCCTGGTTTACAGGCATAAAAAGGTTAGTTTTACACTTAAGACATTACTTTTGTCACTTAATACATTCTATACATTAGTTTATACTGGATTAAGTGTACATTTTCATTAACTGTAATTTAGTTAATTATGTTCCAACATTCCTTCCATCTTGTGTCAATATCAGTTATTTTTTAAGATTGCAAAGAGGAATTTCTCAAGCAAGAATTTTGCTAGGACTGTCTGGGAGTGGTCTAAGGGGGAGGGGAACACGGAAAAACTAGCTGTTATTGGCAGAGGTTTGGAACTCTCCTATTGGCCTATTAACTAATTTACAGCTTTCCAGGCAGTCTTTTCAAACATCTCTTACAGTAGAAAGGCATTATAATTTTCAGTATTATTCCAACCTCAGTGTGGAAATATATATAAAACACAGGAAAATCACGTTTTTGAATGCACTGGGCCTTTAAAAAACAAATGGACGACATCTAGTGGCTAATCCTATTGAACAGTGTTTTCACTGACTTTTCCCCTTTAGGCTCACTTTGTAAAATTGACTCACCTCTTCGTTCAGACTCAAGGCACTCAGGAGAGATTCCACATCATCAAACTCAGCATAGCCAAAACCCTTCAGCCTCTCTGGGTTACTGGGCTCTCTAGGAAGACGCACTGCACTGATCTACACAGAGAAAGAGACAGGGTCAAACACAGATATGTCTGGGTTTGGACGAACAAATACTAGCAGCAACTTGACAAATACTTTATAAAAGGGGTATTCAAATCTTACCCTACGAGGTCCAGACTACTGCTGGTTTTCCGTTCTACCTGATAATGAATTACCACCTGGTGTCCCTGGTCTAAATCAGTCCCTGACTAGAGGGAAATTATGAAAAAGAGCAGTGGAACTGGCTTCAAGGTCCAGATTTGAATTTGACGGCTTTATAATATAATAATAGAAAACAATATATGCCATTTAGCAGATTATTTTATCCAAAGTGAATTACAGTCATGCATGTACACATTTTAAGTACGGTTTCATGTTTTTATATTTGTAGTGCACTTACCCCCACACCCCTAAAGAAGTCCTTGATGGAGTCCTCAGTGACATCGTAGGGCAAGTTGCCCAGGAAGGCGGTGTAAGGGGGACCACGGGGGATACGGGAGCGGTCAACGTTTGGCTCCCGGGCTGAGCGGGGTGCTGTCGGCAGGATGGAGCGGTCGATGGCCGGGGCCCTGTACATATCCTCCTCTGTATGCCAGGAGGTGGACACTGGACATAGGAGAAGGGAGAGAAATTAGAGGGATTGGAGGTTAAAGGGGAAATCTATGATTGGAACATCCATTTTTGGGCTTTTAAATTAATGATACACTACATGGACAAAAGTATGTGGACATGCTCTCATTCCAAAATCATGGGCATTAATATGGAGTTGGTCCCCCCTTTGCTGCTATAACAGCCTCCACTCTTCTGGGAAGGCTTTCCACTAGATGTTGGAACATTGCTGCGGGGACTTGCTTCCATTCAGTCAAAGAGCATCAGTGAGGTCGGGCACTGATGTTGGCCGATTAGGCCTGGCTCGCAGTCGGCGTTCCAATTCATCCCAAAGGTGTTCGATGGGGTTGAGGTCAGGGCTCTGTGCAGGCCAGTCAACTTCTTCCACACCCATCTCGACAAACCATTTCTGTATGGACCTGGCTTTGTGCACGGGGGCATTGTCATGCTGAAACAGGAACTTCCCCAAACTGTTGCCACAAAGTTGGAAGCACAGTCTAAAATGTTATTGTATGTTGTAGAGTTAAGATTTCCCTTCACTGGAACTAAGGGGCCTAGGCCGAACCATGAAAAACAGCCCCAGACAATTATTTCTCCTCCACCAAACTTTACAGTTGGCACTATGCATTCGGGCAGGTAGCGTTCTCTTGGCAACCGCCAAACCCAGATTTGTCCGTTGAACTGCCAGATGGTGAAGCGTAATTAATAACTCCAGAGAACCCGTTAACACTGCTCCAGAGTCCAATGGCGGTGAGCTTTACACCACTCCAAGCGACACTTGGCATTGTGCATGGTGATGTTAGGCTTGTGTGCAGCTGCTCGGCCATGAAAACCCATTTCATGACGCACCCGCGAACAGTTATTGTGCTGATGTTGCTTCCAGAGGCAGTTTTGAATTCGGTAGTGAGTGTCGCAACTGAGGACAGACCATTTTTACGCGCTTCATCGGTCCCGTTCTGTGAGCTTGTGTGGCCTACCACTTCGCGGCTGATCCGTTGTAGCTCCTAGACGTAGCTCCTATACGTAACAGCACTTACAGTTGACCGGGGCAGCTCTAGCAGGGCAGACATTTTACGAACGGACTTGTTGGAAAGGTGGAATCCTATGACGGTGCCACATTAAAAGTCACTGAGCTCTTCAATACGGGCCATTCAGCACTGCCACATTTCGGAATATTTTTGACGATATATCGTATCGTTTTGACAATATCGCAATATAATTTCTGCGCTAGTTAGCTGTACCTCTACCAAAACTCCTTCATAGCTTGTTCTCCATCTTCGTTTTTAAATAGCGAACCAATTTGTTTTCAGCACTTTTATTTACGTGACTGATCAAAACTTGTTTTCTCCTGGCACTCTTGTCCCTCTGCAGCAGACATATGCAATATGTTTGGAACATCGAATCGCAATAAAATCACAGTTTCGAATCGCAATACATATAGAATTGTGAGAATTGCAATACATATCATATCAGCACCTAAGTATTTTAATAATATTGTGACGTCCATCACAATTCCCAGCCCTACTTGAAACATGGTTGAAACTATCATTTTGATCTCATGCATGGTGAGAGTCCTTGCATCCATAGCTGTCTAATGAATTTGAGAGTGGTTACATTTCTCCAGCCCCATCCCGTAGCTATTTAACAAAACAGTGGCAGGGTGTCCCTTTTGTTGTTGTTTGAACTGCAAATTGCCCCTTTAAGGTCATGCTGGCTAGGTACTGTATGTATGGATTCTAACAATAAGATGTGTCAGATGCTGTTCTGACACGTTGACTATGAATACCAAGCACAGGTGCACTGACACCAGAGGTGAATATCACAAAAAAGAATTGGACCTAAACGAGTTACAGTAGCCAACATTATCCTGGTTGAAAACACTCAACATATAGGCCTAAGTAGGAGAAAATAACTATGGTGATGGATTCTTTTTCTGAAGTATCTCACCCTCTGTTTCCAGGTCATCTGTCTCGTCTGCCCAGCTGCTAGTGGGCTTGGTGGGGGGGTAACTTGCGGCACCACTGCCCCCCTTGTCATCAGCCAGGAAGTCAGTCAGAGATAGGGTCTTCACCTTCTTATTCCCCTTCTTCTTAGCTGCTGTGAGGAGTAGAGGATAACATTTATCATCATGGTCAAACAGCTCTCTAGCAAGTCTCTGACAAGACTCACTGTGGGAAAATGGTATTACTGACACCAGAGTGCCTGTTTCATAGCCTAACAGACCAAATGCAACATAGGCCTAATGCATCATTTAGTGGCACACACACACTCCTCCTCGTTCAATTGCCTGATTCACACCAAAGGGCCGACCCAAAACCTTACTGTGCTGGCTTGGATATTTTCTTTTCACAGTCACACTGTCCTTTCCAACACAATTCCAGCAACAATGGTGGATGCGCAACCAAGCCAGCATGGCTTGGCTTGCTTTTGGGCCTATAGTGCGAATCAAACAAAAGTGTTTGGGGATGTTGCACTGGGTCGATGATGGTCCTTTAGCAGTGAGTCAGTGAAGGAAAAATTATAAGCCTGCAAGACCAACATATCCCTGATTTTTAAGGGTCATTCCAAGCCAGCCATATGGTTCAGTCAGACCATTTCAGTGCTGTGTGGATGTTCCCTTTACAGACTTGCAGAGAGCTCACAATGGCATGAAACAAGGCCATGACGCACAAGGGTCCCTATTTGATTTACCATCCCAACATCCCCTTCCCCATCAGATGTTGACACACACCCCCCCAAAACAAAAATACCCCACCCTGGTCTACTGCGCATGCCCCAGATACTGTCAACGTAGGCTAGCCAGCTGTCAACGCTCTATTTACATACACTACATGACCAAAAGTATGTGTACCCCTGCTCGTTGAACATCTCATTCCAAAATCATGGGCATTAGCATGGAGTTGGTCCCACTTTTGCTGCTATAACAGCATCCACTCTTCTGGGACGACTTTCCACTAGATGTTGGAACATTGCTGCAGGGACTTGCTTCCATTCAGCCACACACAAGAACGGCGTTCCAATTCATCCCAAAGGTGTTCGATGGGGTTGAGGTCAGGGCTCTGTGCAGGCCAGTCAACTTCTTCCACACCGATCTCGACAAACTATCTGTATGGACCTTGCTTTGTGCACAGGTGCATTGTCATGCTGATACAGGAAAGGGCCTTCCCCAAACTGTTGCCACAAAGTTGGAAGCACAGAATCGTCTTGAATGTCATTGTATGCTGTAGCGTTAAGATTTTACTTCACTGGAACTAAGGGGCCTAACCCGAACCATGAAAAACAGCCCCAGACCATTATTCCTCCTCCACCAAACTTTACAGTTGGCACTATGCATTGGGGCAGGTATCGTTCTCCTGGCATCCGCCAAACCCAGATTTGTCTGTCGAACTGTCAGATGGTGAAGTGTGATTCATCACTCCAGAGAACGCGTTTCCACTGCTCCAGAGTCAAATGGCGGTGAGCTTTACACCACTCCAGCCGACACTTGGCATTGCGCATGGTGATTTTAGGCTTGTGTGCGGCTGCTCTGCCATGGAAACCCATTTCATGAAGCTCCCGAAGAACAGTTATTGTGCTGACGTTGCTTCCAGAGGCAGTTTGGAACTCGGTATTGAGTGTTGCAACCGAGGACTGACGATTTTTATGCGCTATGTGCTTCAGCGGTCCCGTTCTGTGAGCTTGTGTGGCCTACCACTTCGCAGCTGAGCCATTGTTGCTTTTCGACGTTTCCACTTCACAATAACAGCACTTAACAGTTGACCGCGGCAGCTCTAGCAGGGAAGAAATTTGACAAACTGACTTTTTGGAAAGGTGTCATCCTATGATGGTGCCACGTTTTAAGTCACTGAGCTCTCCTGTAAGGCCATTCTACTGCCAATGTTTCTATGGAGATTGCATGGACGTGAGCTCGATTTGATACACCTGTTAGCAACTGGTGTGGCTGAAATAGCCAAATCCACTAATTTGAAGGGGTGTCTACATACCTTGGTATATATAGTGTAGCTGTCAGGTCAAGCGTCTATAGCTAACTACCACTAAAACCAGGCCGATAACTCACTGTGTCGACACATAGTAAGCAACTATCGTAATCCCAAACAAACAATATCTATGAAGACGCATGGTCATTCCTGTGGTCAATGACCAGCTGCTCTTCCTGAAAAAAATAACTGTAAGTGCGATGTTTACTCCGTCCCATGCCAATTGTCCACTCCCACCCTGCAGCGTCGATCGTGATACAGCCCTGACACTCAGCACGCAATTCTGACATACCCGGATAAAGTATGTATTTCAAACGGTGAGTCCATCCCTTCCTTAAATTGTTTAGTCGATGCTACTCAATGCATATCTCCATCCTTGCTACACCCGGCCCATGCAGAATTTAGCTAACATAATCCTCACCTAACGCCGCCATGTTGGAGATCGACTGCCTGCCCTGGATCCCGGAGACGTGGGCACGCAAGTTTCCGCGTGCATGTTTCGCAACGTGTCCTCCGACAGGGGCTGCATTGCAATGGTGTAGTTCAGTATATCACCACTGGAGGACGATGTAAGCCTAGTTAACGGAATTGAAGCGAGGTTCTTAAAAGTAATTAATGAGAAGGGGATCTGTTCAGTTGAACATTTTGTACGCCAATGTTCACTGTGTTAATATGATGTCATATATTTGGTAGATAAAGGTGTTTGTTTCATTTTGAGTGGAGGGTATCCACCCAAAAGAAAAAGGTAAGTGGAAATATAACTTGTTTCAAGCATAGATTATAAAAACTATGCACATGTGTTGGCTACAGTATGAGTTTCTTCTCAAACTTCCCCTTTTTGCATTGTCTGTTTTGCCCTAAACTTTGGAGCTACTGTGGCAACAGCTTCCGCATGCCTGATAACCTCTGAAGGACAAGGCCCATATACAGTGGCTTGCGAAAGTATTCACCCCTCTTGGCATTTTTCCTATTTTGTTGCCGTACATCCTGGAATTAAAATTGATGTTTTGGGGGTTTGTATCATTTGATTACATTTGAAGATGCAAAATATTTTTTTTATTGTGAAACAAACAAGAAATAAAGCAAAAAAACAGAACTTAGAACCCAAGTCAATACTTTGTAGAGCCATCTTTTGCAGCAATTACAGCTGCAAGTCTCTTGGGGTATGTCTCTATAAGCTTGGCACATCTAGCCACTGGGATTTTTGCCCATTCTTCAAGGCTAAACTGCTCCAGCTCCTTCAAGTTGGATGGGTTCCGCTGGTGTACAGCAATCTTTAAGTCATACCACAGATTCTCAATTGGATTGAGGTCTGGGCTTTGACTAGGCCATTCCAAGACATGTAAATGTTTTCCCTTAAACCATTCGAGTTTTGCTTTAGCAGTATGCTTAGAGTCATTGTCCTGCTGGAAGGTGAACCGCCGTCCCAGTCTCAAATCTCTGGAAGACTGAAACAGGTTTCCCTCAAGAATTTCCCTGTATTTAGCGCCAATCCATCATTCCTTCAATTCTGACCAGTTTCCCAGTCCCTGCCGATGAAAAACATCCCCACAGCATGATGCTACCACCATCATGCTTCATTGTGGGGATGGTGTTCTCGGGGTGATGAGAGGTGTTGGGTTTGCACCAGACATAGCGTTTTCCTTGATGGCCAAAAAGCTCAATTTTAGTCTCATCTGACCAGAGTGCCTTCTTCCATATGTTTTGGGAGTCTCCCACATGCCTTTTGGCAAACACCAAACGTGTTTGCTTATTTTTTTCTTTAAGCAATGGCTTTTTTCTGACCACTCTTCCGTAAAGCCCAGCTCTGTGGAGTGTATGGCTTAAAGTGGTCCTATGGACAGATACTCCAATCTCCGCTGTGGAGTTTTGCAACTCCTTCAGGGTTATCTTTGGTCTCTTTGTTGCCTCTCGGATTAATGCCCTCCTTGCCTGGTCCATATGAGTTTTGGTGGGCGGCCCTCTCTTGGCAGGTTTGTTGTGGTGCCATATTCTTTCCATGTTTTAATAATGGATTTAATGGTGCTCCGTGGGATGTTCAAAGTTTAGGATATTTTCTTATAACCCAACCCTGATCTGTACTTCTCCACAACTTTGCCCCTGACCTGTTTGGAGAGCTCCTTAGTTTTCATGGTGCCGCTTGCTTGGTGGTGCCCCTTGCTTAGTGGTGTTGCAGACTCTAGGGCCTTTCAGAACAGGTGTATATATACTAAGATCATGTGACACATAGATTGCACACAGGTGGACTTTATTTAACTAATTATGTGACTTCTGAAGGTAATTGGTTGCACCAGATCTTATTTAGGGGTTTCATAGCAAAGGGGGTGAATACATATGCACGCACCACTTTTCCGTTATTTATCTTTTAGAATTTTTTGAAACAAGTTATGTTTTTCATTTCACTTCACCAATTTGGACTATTTTGTGTATGTCCATTACATGAAATCCAAATAAATTACAGGTTGTAATGCAACAAAATAGGAAAAACGCCAAGGGGGATGAATACTTTTGCAAGGCACTGTGTGTGTGTGTGTGTGTGTGTGTGTGTGTGTGTGTGTGTGTATTTTTTTTAAAACAAATTTGTTGTAGGAACTCAGTGGGGTCTCAGCTTACTGTTGAGAGTTAGAATAGTAGAATACACAAGGTGCAATTTCAAAATGTGATTGTGCATCAGCAGATTTTCTCTTGTTATGTCAGTCACTGACAATCACTCAATTAGCCATGTCAGCTAACAATTTGTAGATTTGTAAATTAGTATAGCCAGCGATCTAAACTTGTAGTAATCATGGCTGAATACCGACCAGGCACACAGGGCATGTGCCCAGGGTAGGGATGTGACAAATTGAACATTTTTCAGTCAGCAACGGTTTGGTCTCATGGTGCTTCCCTTTCAGATGGTTAAGCATTGCACATGTACTACCATTACTGTACCTCAATTCCACCTCACAAAGTTTGCATTTCCTTCTCATTTAACTTCTCAAAGTATTGCTATACAGGACTTTGCTGCTATCGCTTGCCTTTCTCTGACATTAGTTTTTTCTCTGCCAACCGTTAACGACGATGACGTAGTGGTGAAGAGTCGACTCCAAAATAATTGATTCCTCAAATCCTTGCACTTCACCGCCCGATGTCAACTCCCATTTCTGAGTGTCAAGATTATTTTGGAACGGAGGAGACTGATTAGTTGCCATACTTCGGAGAACACAAACGCTCACATCTTTCATAGCGAGCTAGGGAGGGGTACAGGATAGGCAGGTCGGCCACCAGGCTGACAGTCAGAACCGTGCACTAGGCCTATCTATTGGCAATCAAAAGCTGTATCTCGCAATGGAATGCTGTATCTCGCAATTTCTTGGCTTGCAATGTCTCACAACTTCAGTAAAGCAGGGCCTATAATCACAGCGTGGTAGCCAAGGCACCTAAACAGCGGAGAAGTTGAACCTCGCACTTCAACGCTCTTAGTTGTTGCGGAGATTGACCCACTATGCTGTTTACTTTCTGCATCTACTTCATATCGCTGAGTTTACTTTTAAATTACAATACTTTCCCCAGGCCTTTATAGCCTATCATCTAGTTAGGCTATAAAACGTAATATATTATGTTTTGTGATAACTGCACTGCACTGTGATATTTTTTTGGGTTAAGGATCCATATTTCGTTTAAATGTTTTCTCTGCCCCATGGCAAAATTAGTAGAATTGCATGAAATTTGTTTAAAAATTACTAAACTTCTCTATTCCCCATAGCAAAATGTGTAGAATTACAGGAAATTAACTTTAACATAAAACATTTTCTCTCCGCCGTCAATTAATTATACAGATGATTAACAAAACACACAACAGTATTCATACACTCTAAAATGTCCAATATCAAATCTCACTTAGGGCCCACAAAAAGCTATAGGTGGCAGCGGGTGTAGAGTATCACACAAGTCAGTGGTTAGGGCCAAGGGGCGGTTTTAACTCCCTCACTCATTTCCTTGGTCACCGCAACCAAGGCCTGAAATACTTAGTAACCCCAAAAAACTTCAATCAGTGTTTTGACAACAGTGGCTTCCACATGCATTCCACACAGTAGTCTTTGGAGTACAATGTGATACGACTTAGAAGTGGAAGACCAAGGTTTTCATTACAATCTTATTTTGTTTGACTTAACGTGCTAGTTTGACATATGGCCATTAGGTTGTGCTGGACAAATATCTCATGATGTACTTTCTTTCTGTCGAGTGAAAAGATACAGCTGTTGTAGTAGAAGACAAAATGAGTAAAGCTCATTTTTAACCCTCACTTGAAAAACGGCATTATTGCCATCTTTATGTATGTTTTCCGATATTTGTTATTGTCACGAATTCAGCCGAGGCTGCCCCTCCTCCTTGCTCGGGCAGGTTTCGGCGCTCGTCGTCTCAGGCTTACTAGCCACTACCGCTCCATTTATCATCACTCCATTTGTCTTGTCTTGTCTTGTCAATCACACACACACCTGGTACTCATTCCCTCATTAGTCTGTGTATAAGTGTTCCCTCTGCCCCCTTGTCCTTTTGTGAGTGATTGTTCATTGTGAGAGTGAGTAGCTCGGTTGAGCGACTCTTTACTTGTATTCAGCCAAGGTTGATTTTCCCTTGTGCTAGTTTCGTTCTGTTGATATATGCGCTACATTATTGTACACTGAATAAACTCTTGATTTTGTTTTTTTACCTCCTGCGCCTGACTCCGTCATTCACACCTCATCAGTTATTTGTTTGTCCAATGGCAAAGTATTTTTAACCAACATTTGATTTACTGTACACATTTGTTTTAGCCTTAATCCTCATTACGGTGGAAAGCACTGGTGAACGTCAGAGTTTCTGCTCAATGACAAGACAGGAAGTCCTGGTCTGATTGTGTGTGTGTAAGGGTGTCTATGTGCGTGCTGCTTATTAGATCATAAATCAATGCAACGTTGTGAGGTCCGATTCATTTTTGGCCTGATTTTAGTTTAGTGGACGAAGACTGCCCCTTTGTATGTTGCTAAGCTAAAAGCTGCTGGTGTATGACAGAGTGGAAAACCAGTGAGTCAAGCTCATGCTCTCTCTGCCATTACAGGGACCTTGTTCCATTACAGGGACCTTCCATTACAGGGACCTTGTTCCAGCTCAGGGACATGGATGCCAGTCAGTCAGTGGTTGGTTGAGCTAAGCTAGTGGAGCGTTGCTTCTCTGCTCTGTGTTGCCTGCTCCTGTACACAGCCTCTCGAGAGTTTTACTGGTGCTGACATGTCTTACTGGAAATCATTTCAATATGTTTTCTTTGTGTGTGTGCGTATGTGTTTGCTTGCGTGTGTGTGTGTGTGTGTGTGTGTGTGTGTGTGTGTGTGTGTGTGAGATCGGGAGGAGGAGGGGGTAATTGATGACAGATTTGTTTTTGTACACTACCAGCAGTATACTGAATATACATAAAACATGTGGGTACCATTTCCAAAGAATAGGCTAGATGGGATGATAGAGAACTATTCAGTATTTCAGAAATGTTTTCATTGGAAAATGATTTTGGGATTTAGATTCTTGTCAGTGTAAGTGAGTTCTTGTCCTTTTGTTTTTGGACTGTTCCCTTGGTTCACCGAAAAGCAACAGACAGCACCTGCCAATTGACTACTGTAAGTACTTTGTTTGCATGTTTCAACAGCATCTCATTATGATACTCTATCAATGTGTTGCCTGCATGTACAGACAGATACAGTACCATGGACAATAGAACACTTCTCAAACTATTAATAATAACATATTGGACTTGTTCAAGGACATTGATGAGTGCACAGTTCCATAGATCTGGCAGTATAACAGATGTCTCATTTCACTCTGAGCTCCACCATCAGTTTGATCTAAAGCCCTCCAGATAGATGTGTTTTCTGTGCAGTTCCGACGCCCTTTAGCAATGATATTATATTATGACATTTATTATGTTCCATGGGTTCCCATGTTCGCACTGACACGGCCTCATGTTGACATCTGCTGATTGTGGCTTCACCAGCTCACCACCAGCTCAGTTGTTATATTATTTTAATATTAAACCATAGCAGTAATATCAATCTGTTTGCAAGGAGCCTGTAGAATCAACTATTTGTAAAGGAGGCTGTGTTTCACTCTAAATGTGTAATTGACATGTAATAGCCAAAACGAATGAATTCCACTAAAAGCTTAACAAGTCATGATTGTGCATTCAGTCAGGATGCCAAGATGATCTCCCTCGGGAATAGTGTGACCAGGTTCACTCAAGATTATTGTGTGGTTATTGTCAAGTTTATTTATTAGATGTTTTTGCACAGAAAGCAGAAGGAATGTGGCTCAAGTTCATTACATAATCATAAGATTCACTTTAACACACACTGTCTCTTTAGAAAGAACCACATGGCCCATGCTTGGCGATGTGCTTTGACAAATTTCTATAATAATTGTATATAGTCTAGCTGGATTTGCTGGACTTAGTTAAGTCCTTTTTAGAGGTTTGGAAGAGCACACAATTGTTTATTGTACTATTTAATTGAGAGAAATCAAGTCAAGTAAACACAATTTATCCTTATGACTTTTCAAGCTGTGTTTGTGCTGTCTTGAGAAAATACGCATCGGTAAAGCCATAACTGCAGCGGCCGTGCAGCTGTACTGAATTCCACATGGACTCTGCTATTTGCACTAACATCACTGCGCGAGCACCACAAAAGGCTGGTCTGTCAACGTTGCAAAAGGTGTGCAGCTGAACCGCATGATTGAGTAAAGATCTGTTCTCTCACACTTCTTGCTTTGCAAACAACAGAGTTGAGTAAAAGCCTGGTAATTGAGTTTAATATGATTTTATAGAGATAAGTGAGATGTTTGCTGTGGATCACGCTCCATCTGAAACTGTTCAGGCGTGTACAGGGGTGGCAGTTAATCACAATATTTAATCTCAGTTTTAATGACACCCTTCCTTCTTCCACTGTCACTCGTGGCAGGCAAACTAGTCTCCTGAGGTTTTACAGATGCCTGGCTCACGGAAATCTTAGCTCTCCTCTTCCTCACCGATGAGGAGAGACTGAGGGGAGACAGAGGATGCTAGGTTGGGAATCTAAGATACAGGACTCCATTTACTGTCCTGGGTTTGTTTTGTCCCTCACATGTGATTGATACGGACTATCTTGAACTCTCCCAAGAAAAATGGCTGTCATTCCCCTCTTCGCTGCTAGCAACATGAAAAGTCTTACAAAACAGGCTACAGCACAGGAGGGCCTTTGAGCAAAGTATTATTATATTGAACAGTACTTGAAGTCTTAAGACTACCGGTACACTCTAAAAATAAAAGGTTCCTGGAGTATCCTTTAGGGGTTCTTCAAATTGAAACTGTGGGGGAACCCCTATAAGTTCTTCAAAGAACCCCTTTTAATGGATCCTCAAATAAACTTTTGAAGAACCTTTTGGGGTTGATTTTTGAACTACCCCCTCTCCCCTGTTGTTGTTATTATTATTATTGATAATAATATGCATAACAATAACAACAATAACACTATATTTTAGTTCTCAGTGTTTATTATGATTTTATCCTCTGGCATGTTGATTTGTTGATGTTCTCCATATCCATAGCCAGAATGATTTTGCAGTGCATGATGATCGAACAGGTTTCCTGTTATATTCATCAGGGGTGTAGGGAGGGTGAAGTCTGTAAATCCCCAAAATAGTAATTATGCAGATGATTAACAAAACATGCACACGACAGAATACATACTTTGGTTTTTGTGGTGAATGTGAATGAAAAAAAAATAAATACTTTTGATAATGGTTTTCATACACATACCTTGTCCATAATGTAGAGGCCATTGGGATATTAATTGAAGAGGTAAGGGAGGAGGATGGTAAATGTGATCTGCATAACATACAGTGGGGAAAAAAGTATTTAGTCAGCCACCAATTGTGCATGTTCTCCCACTTAAAAAGATGAGAGAGACCTGTAATTTTCATCATAGGTACACGTCAACTATGACAGACAAATTGAGATTTTTTTTCTCCAGAAAATCAAATTGTAGGATTTTTAATGAATTTATTTGCAAATTATGGTGGAAAATAAGTATTTGGTCACCTACAAACAAGCAAGATTTCTGGCTCTCACAGACCTGTAACTTCTTCTTTAAGAGGCTCCTCTGTCCTCCACTCGTTACCTGTATTAATGGCACCTGTTTGAACTTGTTATCAGTATAAAAGACACCTGTCCACAACCTCAAACAGTCACACTCCAAACTCCACTATGGCCAAGACCAAAGAGCTGTCAAAGGACACCAGAAACAAAATTGTAGACCTGCACCAGGCTGGGAAGACTGAATCTGCAACAGGTAAGCAGCTTGGTTTGAAGAAATCAACTGTGGGAGAAATTATTAGGAAATGGAAGACATACAAGACCACTGATAATCTCCCTCGATCTGGGGCTCCACGCAAGATCTCACCCCGTGGGGTCAAAATGATCACAAGAAGGGTGAGCAAAAATTCCAGAACCACACAGGGGGACCTAGTGAATGACCTGCAGAGAGCTGGGACCAAAGTAACAAAGCCTACCATCAGTAACACACTACGCCGCCTGGGACTCAAATCCTTGCAGTGCCAGACGTGTCCCCCTGCTTAAGCCAGTACATGTCCAGGCCCGTCTGAAGTTTGCTAGAGTGCATTTAGATGATCCAGAAGAGGATTGGGAGAATGTCATATGGTCAGATGAAACCAAAATATAACTTTTTGGTAAAAACTCAACTCGTCGTGTTTGGAGGCCAAAGAATGCTGAGTTGCATCCAAATAACACCATACCTACTGTGAAGCATGGGGGTGGAAATATCATGCTTTGGGGCTGTTTTTCTGCAAAGGGACCAGGACGACTGATCCGTGAATGAATGGGGCCATGTATCGTGAGATTTTGAGTGAAAACCTCCTTCCATCAGCAAGGGCATTGAAGATGAAACGTGGCTGGGTCTTTCAGCATGACAATGATCCCAAACACACCGCCCGGGCAACGAAGGAGTGGCTTCGTAAGAAGCATTTCAAGGTCCTGGAGTGGCCTAGCCAGTCTCCAGATCTCAACCCCATAGAAAATCTTTGGAGGGAGTTGAAAGTCCGTGTTGCCCAGTGACAGCCCCAAAACATCACTGCTCTAGAGGAGATCTGCATGGAGGAATGGGCCAAAATACCAGCAACAGTGTGTGAAAACCTTGTGAAGATTTACAGAAAACGTTTGACCTGTGTCATTGCCAACAAAGGGTATATAACAAAGTATTGAGAAACTTTTGTTATTGACCAAATACTTATTTTCCACCATAATTTGCAAATACATTCATTAAAAATCCTACAATGTGATTTTCTGGATATTTTTTCTCATTTTGTCTGTCATAGTTGTCGTGTACCTATGATGAAAATTACAGGCCTCTCTCATCTTTTTAAGTGGGAGAACTTGCACAATTGGTGGCTGACTAAATACTTTTTTCCCCCACTGTACCAATATAAATGTACATACCTTTGTATGCCTCCTCGTCTGTATAGCTGCAGACACAGACACAAAAGTGAGCAGTTTAGTAAATAAATAAATTAAATTGGTCATTTAGCAGACGCTCTTATCCAGAGCGACTTACAGGAGCAATTAGGGTTAAGTGCCTTGCTCAAGGGCACATCGACAGATTTTTCACCTAGTCTGCTTGGGGATTAGAACCAGCGACCTTTCGGTTACTGGTACAACGCTCTTAACCACTAAGCTACCTGCCGCCCTTTAGTCATCTGCACCCAATACAGCTAGCCTTCAACACATTCTTATAGCCTACATATTCTTACCTCTTTGCTGATTGATATCCATTGAATTGTGTCCATTTTCTGTTTTAGAAAGATTGGTACAAATATGAAAAGACAGATGGTATCATAATATACAAATATCAATTTAGATCATATAAGGGACAACAAACCTTACCTTAAATTGAGGAGATCTTTACATTTGTCAGTTAAGTGCCTGCACCTGCTGTCCTGTTTCAGTTGGGCAGTTCGGTTCCTGCGAGAACCCCCACCAACTAAGGAGGTTCCTTGATGAACCCCACCTCCTATGGAGTTCTTGGAATTATCTTTTGGGGGCCATTTTCAGTGCCAAGAACCCTAAGGTTCTTCGAAGAACTTTGAGGATCTTAGAAGAACCCTTGTTGAACTCATAATTTCTAGAGTGCAGTAATGTCTACAGTCAGGAGATAATATGTGCCAAATATGTGCCTGTTGTGCCAGATACATAGCAGGCTTCAAATTGTAGGGCCCACTTAAGGTCATATTTTCACCCTCGTGGTACATTTGATGCATCATAATCTGGGGCCCAGTTTTTCAATTTAAAAAATCTGGATCAGAATATTCCGGAATCTGTAATCCTCTTTTTTGTGATCCAGGATCAGATCAATCTGGCTGTTTTTGAGCCGTATCCCCCCCAAAATAATCGGATAGGATAATTTTGATCCAGATACCACAATATCAAGATCACAGAATCTGGATTTTCAGTGCTTTGAACAGGCCTACACCTTACCGTCTACTGGACAGGTTATGGTACTACTTCTAAACTGTCATAGGGAAATGGAGATGAGTATACTATATGAATAAAGGTACCTTGATTAAAAATAATAGAGCCTGCATATCACTTATAAGTAAGTAGATACATTTATTTAACACTTCTCAATATAACAACTGACCACAGTTGTTAAAGGTCAGATTGGATGACCAAATCCTTATCCCTATCTAGGGGCCCAATTTTTTTTTTTTAAGATCTCGATTTCGCCTATCGGATAGGATATAACGGGAAACCATTGACTTGAATGGAGACTCCCATTTTATTTCTATGCATTTAATTATATCGGATATAGAATGAATAGAACGACACATTATTATTTTCTCCCCAATTTCGTGATATCCAATTAGTAGTTAGTCTTGTCCCAACACTGCAACTCCCGTACGGACTCGGGAGAGGCGAAGGTTGAGAGACATGCGTCCTCCGAAACACGACACGCCAAGCTGCACTGCTTCTTGACATACTGCTCGCTTAACCCGGAAGCCAGCCTGCGACCTGAAGTCAGCGTGCATGCGCCCGGCCACCACAAGGAGTCGCTAGAGCACAATGGGACAAGGATATTCCAGCCGGCCAAACCCTCCCCTAACCCGGATGATGCTGGGCCAATTGTGCGCTGTCTCATGGGTCTCCCGGTCGCGGCCGGCTGCGACACAGCCCGGGATCGAACCCGGATCTGTAGTGCCCCTCTAGCACTGCGATGCAATGCCTTAGACCACTCTGGGGAGGCCCAGAAAAAAACTGTTCTAACATTTAATCCAATCCAATTGCTGAAATCCAATCGGATAACTTTTGAAAAACTGGGCCCTGATGATTGGCAAAAATCCTCTCTGATTCTTATAGGTGGTGAAATGAAAAAACAACGGTTCATATTACTGTTGTGCATTTGATTGAGTACCTGATGTGTCAGCTTCAAGAAATGACCTGTTTTGTTCCCACAGGCATGTTTTGTATAAACAGACCAACTATGGTTTAAATATCCTGATCCTACCAAACTCCTGACTCAAATACTTTCAATTGTCTTTTTCCTGTTTTCATAAGGAGCGTTTGGCTGGGCTAGCGTTTGATAAGTTAGCCGGTGAAGCCCTGGGAGGAGGTCAGAACATCTAGTCCTCTTACGTAACACCAGGGTTAACTGGCTAAAAGTGGAATCTCAAGGTTGTTTCTAAGTGAGCAGTGAAAGTGCAACTGAAATGCTATCAGTTGAATTCGTACTGTGTCAGTTGACACAGTTCTCTGTCCTATCCAGGTTTAAGCCTTATCAGCATTCTCATATTCCTTCACTATGACTCAAAGTCAAAGCTATGAATATAGGAGTATGTTTGTCCTGTGCTGCATGCACATAATATGTGTGGGTGTGAGAAAGCCCTGCTGTTATGTCTGTGTGTGTCCTGTCTCCTGTGAGTCAGCCTTACCTGTGAGAAACACACACACTCCCACGTCTCCTGGCTCAGACATACGGTATTATCTCCAGACAGATGCCAGATAAAGAGCATTCAACAACAATGACAGAGCTATGATATTTTCCTGTTGTGCCTTCAGACAATCCTGAAGGCAGTGAGTTACAAAGCTCCAACTAGAGATACCTCAGACGCTACAGCAATCTGCCCCATCAAAATGCACAGTGATCAAGCAGATTATACAGTGTAATACAATACGATGATTCAACAGATCTATATCACTCTCAGATAACAACATGTTTCTTACAGTCAGATAAATCATTCCTGGCTTCCCTTGGTATAATATTTTATGCTAATGCCAAGTAGCGGTTTGCAACATTCCTCCACTCTGCCCCACAACTACTGAGTCATTTTTCCACTGCTGTGTAGGCGAGAGATATTGCCTGATTCCCAGCAATAGCAGAAAGTACCCTTTTTTGGTCATATCTGACTGGAATGAGAGGCCAAAAGCCAACTAGTCCAAACGGGGGAACACAGTAGACACGATTGCAACTTGGCCTGGGCTGCTCCTGTCTTGTATCAGAGTCAGAGCTGTCATGCCGGGGAATTTCAGATGTAATACTCAGATAAGAAAAGTGATTAAGCAAGCATGAAATTAGATTTATACATAGCCTGCTGGTAATTATACTGTATGTCATTTTAAAAAAAATCCTGTGGTATTCTGAAATGGTCCAATGGCTCTTATCTGCAAATACGGGAAGTGATCTGAAAGTATAACCAGGATAGAAGCCAAGGCATTATTCCAACAGCAATAGGCTTTGGAATTAGTCATTGGTCATTGGTAATGGGGATTAGTCATTGGTGAGGAGTGGGAAGTAGCTAGGATTAAAGCAGTAGATCTGCATGACTGCTGTGCAAAGTGCTGTGACCAGCCACGCCTGCGGCCTGGTCAGTGGAGGGGTGTGATGATGGTGACAGTCCCTTGATGATCCTGTCCTCACTGTGGTCCCTGTTAAAGCTGTGTGGTCACAGTCACACACTCCCTGATGACAGGTGTCCAGGCCAGGGAGGGCGGCCATTTCTCACAGCTAGTGCGTATGTAGAATGCTTATCTTACAGTGAGGGGAAAAAAGTATTTGATCCCCTGCTGATTTTTGTACGTTTGCCCACTGACAAATAAATGATCAGTCTATAATTTTAATGGTAGGTATATTTGAACAGTGTGTGACAGAATAACAACAACAAAATCCAGAAAAATGCATGTCAAAAATGTTATAAATTGATTTTGGGAAATAGGTATTTGACCCCCTCTCAATCAGAAAGATTTCTGGCTCCCAGGTGTATTTTATACAGGTAACGAGTTGAGATTAGGAGCACACTCTTAAAGGGAGTGCTCCTAATCTCAGCTTGTTACCTGCCTGTATAAAAGACACCTGTCCACAGAAGCAATCAATCAATCAGATTCCAAACAATCCACCATGGCCAAGACCAAAGAGCTCTCCAAGGATGTCAGGGACAAGATTGTAGACCTACACAAGGCTGGAATGGGCTACAAGACCATCGCCAAGCAGCTTGGTGAGAAGGTGACAACAGTTGGAGCGATTATTCGCAAATGGAAGAAACACAAAAGAACTGTCAATCTCCCTTGGCCTGGGGCTCCATGCAAGATCTCACCTCGTGGAGTTGCAATGATCATGAGAACGGTGAGGAATCAGCCCAGAACTACACGGGAGGATCTTGTCAATGATCTCAAGGCAGCTGGGACCATAGTCACCAAGAAAACAATTGGTAATACACTACGCCGTGAAGGACTGAAATCCTGCAGCGCCCGCAAGGTCCCCCTGCTCAAGAAAGCACATATACAGGCCCGTCTGAAGTTTGCCAATGAACATCTGAATGATTCAGAGGAGAACTGGGTGAAAGTGTTGTGGTCAGATGAGACCAAAATCGAGCTCTTTGGCATCAACTCAACTCACCATGTTTGGAGGAGGAGAAGGAGGAGGAATGCTGCCTATGACCCCAAGAACACCATCCCCACCGTCAAACATGGAGGTGGAAACATTATGCTTTGGGGGTGTTTTTCTGCTAAGGGGTACAGGACAACTTCACCGCATCTAAGGGACGATGGACGGGGCCATGTACCGTCAAATCTTGGATGAGAACCTCCTTCCCTCAGCCAGGGCATTGAAAATGGGTCGTAGATGGGTATTCCAGCATGACAATGACCCAAAACACACGGCCAAGGCAACAAAGGAGTGGCTCAAGAAGAAGCACATTAAGGTCCTGGAGTGGCCTAGCCAGTCTCCAGACCTTAATCCCATAGAAAATCTGTGGAGGGAGCTGAAGTTTCGAGTTGCCAAACGTCAGGCTCGAAACCTTAATGACTTGGAGAAGATCTGCAAAGAGGAGTGGGACAAAATCCCTCCTGAGATGTGTGCAAACCTGGTGGCCAACTTCAAGAAACGTCTGACGTCCAACAAGGGTTTTGCCACCAAGTACTAAGTCATGTTTTGCAGAGGGGTCAAATACTTATTTCCCTCATTAAAATGCAAATCAATTTACTGTCCAAATAAACCTACCATTAAAATTATAGACTGATCATGTCTTTGTTAGTGGGCAAACGTACAAAATCAGCAGGGGATCAAATACTTTTTTCCCTCACTGTATCTATTTTATAGCATAAAGATAGTTTACTCAGAAGCCATGTGTGTGTTTGCCCTGTTTCTCTGGCAACATTCACAAAAAACTTGCTCTGTAAACAAATAATGTATCCCATGTGAATGACACAACTTTGACTTGATATTTGTTACAGAGCAAGTTTTCTGTGAATGTCGCCAGAGTAACTGTGCAAAAACAGGATTCTTATGCCTTAAATCAACCCAATGCCTCTGAGTAAATCAAAGCTCATGCCAACCTGATGGATGTACACTAATTTCAACAGTAAACTCAGTAAATAAACACAAACCCTCTCCTCTGAACTCCAGTCCTCCAGTACCCCTAACAGCACAAATTTTTGTTGTAGCCCCGGACAAGCACACCTGATTCAACATATCAACTAATCATCAAGCCCTCAATGAGTGAGTTTGTCTGGGGTTACAACAGAAATGTGTGCTGTTGGGGGTACTGGTGTACTAGAAAACATTGGTCTAGGTAACAAATGTCCTTGTAATGGAGCGCCATGAAAGAATAGCTCACTTAAAACATCCAACGTGTTACTAGAGTGATGTCAAGTCGAGACAAAGTATTGACACAATGTCCTGAAGACTAAGGACCTTCACAACAAATATACCCAGGTGGGAGCACCTGCAGCATAGAGGGGGAAGAGTTGTCTCTAAGATGGATTCCTAGACAATTAGCACTCAGACAGGGCTGTGGACAGGACTCTGAGTGAATGTCTGACCTAATCATCAAATAGCACTGTTGGTGTTTAACCACATGGCTTGGTCTCCCCTCCCTACATTCCTCTGGCCTGACTTATACCTCTGTCTCAGTGCCCAGATACAAAGGATTGTAAATGGGGTGGACAGGACTACCCCAGACCTTGTTTTCCACTCATAACGGTAAACAGGAAACTAGCTGGATTTTGTTTTCCAATGTCTTGTCCAGAACAGGTTGACACAGTGAACCTGTCGTGTCCATGGGCCTTTCATGTTGGTGGAAAGATCTGTTGAACTCAGCAGGTGTGTAGGTGTGGGTGGGTTGTTATGATTGGGGGGGTCATTTTAACCTTTGTTCACTGTAAATGTCGACTCTCCCTTCCTGCTATTAAATTCCTTTCTCTACACGGTATTCACATAGCAAAGTACAGTGGTCTTTGTACACAAGGAACTAAAGGACCCTGAGCTACTGTAGTCAGACACCATTACCACATGTTTTAATCATTTACCTTCAACTCTGGAATCTGTGGTAGTTACTCATTCAAAGAATACCAAGGTTAGGTTTTAGATTACGTGCTTACATTGGTACTGGCATAGAATAACAAGTTCCCATTTCTTTAGTTTCATTTCATAATAGTTAGTGAATCATTTCTGAGTTTATTTCAAAACAAATTTTACTCCCAGATCTGTTTTCATGGTAACTCCTCACAGATTTACTGGAAGAGCTCATGCACACTGTGAAATCTTACAGCAAGAAGTAGAAGTTTGGTTTCTTTGTATTTTTAGCCGAAAGGGGTAATTATGTAAATTGTACTATACTGTGTGGCTCTCTGTGACTGGTCGTTGAGTTCTCTGGTTGGAATTTCCACTGGGACAGACCACTGGGACCAGTCTGAGTGACTCATGCACAACCAAAGCAGCCAAAACACGTCTTTGTGCGGTTCGTCTGAAATTTCCAGCTCTCCACCCATGCATCAGAAATGGAAAAATGAAATGGAGGAAGACACCGGCAGCTAGCTGGACAGTGGCCTCTTTCACAGTTCTGTTCTTACTGAATCCACCCCCTTACCTCCCCCCTCTCTCTGAGCAGTCTGGGAGGAAACGCTTCCCATTCTGCCCGCAGGGGGACTGACTCAGAGCAGAGAAGGCCACATCCTACAGACGTGTCTGGTAGAGGAGAGAGTGGTTATTAGCAACCTTTGACCCAAAATGTATATGACTCATGCTTGAAGTCAGTTATTCTGAAGTGACTGTTCATTATCTGGTGCTGCAGCGTCATTTATGTACTCTGAATTAAGTTATAAAATAGGCTGAGATAACCTGACCTGAGATAACTGGCCAATTACTTTGAGCTGTCTAGTCTTTGCCTGTCTCTCCATTGCACTAAGTTTTCTGTTTGTTCATTCCAATTTTCTCTGTAATTTCATCCCATTTTAGAGCACTAGCTTAAATTCTCATTCCTGTCAGGTTACAACACTGACCATGACTGGGCTCAAACCACCCGGAGCGAAGCCAAAGACATTACCAAACACAGACAGTAGCCGACACGGCTTTATCTCCCTCCTACTCTATAATATATTTCTTTTTTTTGTTGTATTTTTTGTTGTTGTATTTTACCCCCTTTTTCTCCTCAATTTTCGATCTTGTCTCATCGCTGCAACTCCCCAACGGGCTCAGGAGAGGCGAAGGTGGAGTCATGCATCCTCCGAAACATGACCTGCGTAACCCGCGTTCCTTAACACCCGCCAGCTTAACCCGGATGCCAGCCGCACCAATGTGTCGGAGGAAAACACTGTTCAATCTGGCGAACGGGGTCAGTCCGCAGGCACCCGGCCTGCCACAAGGAGTCGGTAGAGCGCGATGAGCCAAGTAAAGCCCCACCGGTCAAACCCTCCCCTAACCCGGTCAACGCTGGGCCAATTGTGCGCCATCCTATGAGACTCCCGGCCACGGCGGTTGTGGCACAGCCCGGGAATGAACCCGGGTCTGTAGTGACGCCTCTAGCACTGCGATGCAGTGCCTTAGACCGCTGTGCCACTCGGGAGGCCCTATAATATATTTCTGTATTACACAATTTGAAATTTAAAAAAATGTTTTTAATATATATTTAAAAAAATTATAAAATGATCCTAAATAAAAATGAAATAATAAAAACAATTACAAAAAACACATAAATATAAAATAATACGAAATAAAAGTAACAAATAATTAAAAAGCAGCAGTAAAATTAACAATAGCGAGGCTATATACAGGGGGTACCGGTACCGAGTCGATGTGCGGGGGCACCGGTTAGTCAAGGTAATTGGGGTAATATGTACATGTAGGTAGAGTTATTAAAGTGACTATGCATAGATAATAAACAGAGAGTAGCAGCAGCGTAAAAGAGGGGAGGGGGGCAATGCAAATAGTCTGGGTAGCCATTTGATTAGATGTTCAGGAGTCTTATGGCTTGGGGGTAGAAGCCGTTTAGAAGCCTCTTGGACTTAGACCTGGCGCTCCGGTACCGCTTGCCGTGTGGTAGCAGAGAGAACAGTCTATGACTAGGGTGGCTGGAGTCTTTGACAATTTTTAGGGCCTTCCTCTGACACCGCCTGGTATGTCAGAGGAAGCTTGGCCCCAGTAAAAGCTTCCTGGATAACAGGAAGCTTGGCCCCAGTAATGTACTGGGCCGTACGCACTACCCTCTGTAGTGCCTTGCGGTCAGAGGCCGAGCAGTTCACAATTCCAGGCAGTGATGCAACCAGTCAGGATGCTCATGATGGTGCAGCTGTAGAACCTTTTGAGGATCTGAGGACCCATGCCAAATATTTTCAGTCTCCTTAGGGGGAATAGGTTTTGTCGTGCCCTCTTCACGACTGTCTTGGTGTGCTTGGACCATGTTCGTTTGTTGGTGATGTGGACACCAAGGAACTTGAAGCTCTCAACCTGCTCCACTACAGCCCTGTCGATGAGAATGGGGGCGTGCTCGGCCCCCTTCTTTTTCCTGTAGTCCACAATCATCTCCTTTGTCTTGATCACGTTGAGGGAGAGGTTGTTGTCCTGGCACCACACGGCCAGGTCTCTGACCTCCTCCCTATAGGCTGCCTCGTCGTTGTCTGTGATCAGGCCTACCACTGTTGTGTCATCGGCAAACTTAATGATGGTGTTGGAGCCATGCCTGGCAATGCAGTCATGAGTGAACAGGGAGTACAGGAGGGGACTGAGCACGCACCCCTGAGGGGCCCCCGTATTGAGGATCAGCGTTGCGGATGTGTTGTTTCCTACCCTTACCACTTGGGGGCAGCCTGTCAGGAAGTCCAGGATCCAGTTGCAGAGGGAGGTGTTTAGTCCCAGGGTCCTTAGCTTAGTGATGAGCTTTGAGGGTACTATGGTGTTGAACGCTGAGCTGTAGTCAATGAATAGCATTCTCACATAGGTGTTCCTTTTCTCCAGGTGTGAAAGGACAGTGTGGAGCGCAATAGAGATTGCATCATCTGTGGATCTGTTGGGGCGATATGCAAATTGGAGTGGGTCTAGGGTTTCTGGTATAATGGTGTTGATGTGAGCCATGTCCAGCCTTTCAATGCACTTCATGGCTACAGACGTGAGTGCTACGGGTCGGTAGTTATTTAGGCAGGTTACCTTAGTGTTCTTGGGCACAGGGTCTATGGTGGTCTGCTTGAAACATGTTGGTATTACAGACTGGGAGAGGTTGAAAATGTCAATGAAGACACTTGCCAGTTGGTCAGCGCATGCTCAGAGTACACGTCCTGGTAATCCATCTGGCCCTGCGGCCTTGTGAATGTTGACCTGTTTTAAAGGTCTTACTCACATTGGCTACGGAGAGCGTGATCACACAGTCATCCGGAACAGCTGATGCTCTCATGCATGCTTCAGTGTTACTTGCCTCGAAGCGAGCATAGAAGTAATTTAGCTCGTCTGGTAGGCTCGCAGCTGTGCTTCCCTTTGTAGTCTGTAATAGTTTGCAAGCCCTGCCACATCCGACGAGTGTCGGAGCCTGTGTAGTACGATTCAATCTTAGTCCTGTATTGACGCTTTGCCTGTTTGATGGTTCGTCGGAGGGCATAGCGGGATTTCTTATGAGCTTCCAGGTTAGAGTCCCGCTCCTTGAAAGCGGCAGCTCTACCCTTTAGCTCAGTGCGGATGTTGTATGTAATCCATGGTGTCTGGTTGGGGTATGTACGTACAGTCACTGTGGGGACGACGTCATCGATGCACTTATTGATGAAGCCAGTGACTGATGTGGTGTACTCCTCAATGCCATCGGAAGAATCCCGGAACATATTCCAGTCTGTGCTAGCAAAACCGTCCTGTAGCTTAGCATCTGCTTCATCTGACCACTTTTTTATTGACCGAGTCACTGGTGCTTACTGCTTTAGTTTTTGCTTGTAAGCAGGAATCATGAGGATAGAATTATGGTCAGATTTTCGAAATGGAGTGCTAGGGAGAGCTTTGTATGTGTCTCTGTGTGTGGAGTAAAGGTGGTCAAGAGTTTTTTCCTTCTGGTTTCACATTTAACATGCTGGTAGAAATTAGGTTAAATGGATTTAAGTTTCCCTGCATTTAAGTCCCCGGCCACTAGGAGCGCCGCCTCTGGATGAGCGTTTTCCTGTTTGCTTATGGCCGTATACAGTTCATTGAGTACGGTCTTAGTGCCAGCATCGGTTTGTGGTGGTAAATAGACAGCTACGAAAAATATAGATATCTATCTTGGTAGATAGTGTGGTCTACAGCTTATCATGAGATACTCTAACTCAGGCGAGCAAAACCTTGAGACTTCCTTACATATTGTGCGTTGTTTACAAATATACATAGACCACCACCCCTTGTCTTACCAGAGGCTGCCGTTCTATCCTGCCGATACAGTGTATAACCCGCCAGCTGTATGTTATTCATGTCATCATTCAGCCACGACTCGGTGAAACATAAGATATAACAGTTTTTAATGTTCCGTTGGTAGGATATTTGTGCCTGTAGTTCATCCATTTTATTATCAAGCGATTGTAAGTAGGCCAGTAGTATCGATGGCAAAGGCAGATTAGCCACTCGTCGCCGGCTCCTTACCAAGCACCCCGATCTCCTTCCGCGATATCTCCTTTTCTTTCTATTGCGAATGACGGGGATGAGGGCCCTGTCGGGTGTCTGGAGCAAATCCCTCTAGTCCAACTCATAAAATAAAAATTATTTGTCCACTTCAAGGTGAGTAATTGTTGTTCTGATGTCCAGAAGCTCTTTTCGGTCATTAGAGACGGTAGCAGCAACATTATGTACAAAATAAGTTAAAAACAATGCGAAAAAACACACAAAATAGCACGGTTGGTTAAGAGTCCATAAAACGGCAGCCATCCTCTCCAGCGCCATTTCAATAGGCCTACATCCTCCAAGGAAAGACTCCATGAAACATTGCTGTGTATTCCTTTGAATTGGACGGGATGAGAGACAGAATAATAGTGTGAATGATCTCTATGGACCTAAAGGGCTCACTTGCCTGCATGGCTAATCTCCTGGCCAGAGAGACCAGTGGAGCCCAGTGATGCAGAGGAATGGCAGGTATGCAGTATAGATATTCTGCATGTCCCATCTGGAATCAGCTTGGAATGCTCTGTCTCCCTGATCCACCCGCTGCTCTGCTTTCATCCCTCTAATGCAAGGCGGCTGGAGATCTCTGGCTCTAACAAAATATATCTGTGTGTGTGGAGTAGAGCTTTACAACACTAGTCAGTGCATGGTCAGGGAGAGGGGAGGAACCAGCCTCTGCAGACTGACTTTTTACACATGTTTTACATAACAACTGCAATTCGGGAACAGATAAGATAATCATGATTTGGGCAACAATATTTTAGGTGTAACAATCTCTCTCAACCTTTGCTTGATATTTTGGTCTAGTTTTTTTTCTTCACTTTGAACAAATATTCTAACTAACCAATAACAACCTGTTATTATTATCTTATTGACACATATGTCCCATTGACCAAGTATGCAAGTGGCTCACCATAGAGACCAAATTAGGTCAATTGTGCATAAACAAACAAAATGCAGACTAGCTAATGTGAAGGAAAACAAACAAAAGCAAGAGTGGACTGAGAGTAATAATGTGAAATAGCATGGGAATTGAGGCCCAGTCCAGCAGTCGGGGGGTAGATAGAGAACTTTGGGTTGCAGAATACACAGACATTTCCTGAGGGAAAAAAATATCTGACTAGATGGAACAAATCAAATCAAATGTTATTTGTCACATACACGTGTTTAGCAGATGTTATAGCGGGTGTAGCGAAATGCTTGTGCTTCTAGCTCCGACAGTGCAGTAATATCTAACAAGTAATATCTAACAATTTCACAACATATACCCAATACACACAAAACTAGTAAGGAATGGGATTTAAGAATATATTCATATATGGACAAGCAATGACAGAGCGGCATGGACTAAGATACAGTAGAATATTATAGAATAGAATGCAGTATATACATATGAGATGAGTAGTGCAAGATATGTAAACATTATTAAAGTGACTAGTGTTCCATTTCTTAAAGTGGCCAGTGACTTCAAAAGGCAGCAGCAGCCTCTAATGTGCTAGTGATGGCTATTTAACAGTCTGATGGCCTTGAGATAGAAGTTGTTTTTCATTCTCTCTGTCCCAGCTTTGATGCACCTGTACTGACCTCGCCTTCTGGATGATAGCGGGGTGAACAGGCAGTGGCTCGGGTGGTTGATGTCCTTGATGATCTTTTTGGCCTTCCTGTGACATCGGATACAGCCCGACAGGATGCTCTCAATTGTGCATCTGTAAAAGTTTGTGAGGGTTTTAGGTGCTAAGCCGAATTTCTTCAGCCTCCTGAGGTTGAAGAGGCTCTGTTGCGCCTTCTTCACCACACTGTCTGTGTGGGTGGACCATTTCAGTTTGTCGGTGATGTGTACGCCAAGGAACTGGAAGCTTTTCACCTTCTCCACTGCGGTCCTGTCGATGTGGATAGGGGGGTGCACCATCTGCTGTTTCCTGAAGTCTACGATCATCTCCTTTGTTTTGTTGATGTTGAGTGAGAGGTTATTTTCCTGGCACCACACTCCCAGAGCCCTCACCTCCTCCCTGTAGGCGGTCTCGTCATTGTTGGTAATCAAGCCTACTACTGTTGTGTCATCTGCAAACTTGATGATTGAGTTGGAGGTGTGCTTGGCCACGCAGTCATGGGTGAACAGGGAGTACAGGAGGGGTCTGAGCACGCACCCTTGTGAGGCCCCAGTGTTGAGGATCAGCGAAGTGGAGATGTTGTTTCCTACCTTCACCACCTGGGGGGCGGCCCGTCAGGAAGTCCAGGACCCAGTTGCACAGGGCGGGGTTCAGACCCAGGGCCTCAAGCTTAATGATGAGCTTGGAGGGTACTATGGTGTTGAATGCTGAGCTATAGTCAATGAACAGCATTCTTACATAGGTATTCCTCTTGTCCAGATGGGATAGGGCAGTGTGCAGTGTGATGGCGATTGCATCGTCTGTGGATCTATTGGGGCGGTAAGCAAATTGAAGTGGGTCTAGGGTGACAGGTAAGGTAGAGGTGATATGATCCTTGACTAGTCTCTCAAAGCACTTCATGAGCTGGATGGAGAGTGCTAAGTGGCATAGGGACAATTATTGTTTACAGCTCGATAACTTTGTGGGATTTTAAGTTTACGTTGCTTGAGTAATATTGCTTTTCACCTCACATCAACTTTGCGTTTCTTTTCTGTATGCATTTAGAGGAAACAGACTTTTCATAATGTACTATACATGATACAGTAGATGAAGAGAAACACATACAGCCCTTACATTGTTTTTTACTTTACTTGAATTGTCTCATTTGTCATTTTTGAACAATGAACTGTTATTCTAGGAGTGTTGTGGTGTGTCATGATGATGATAATGATTAGAGAGAAGATGTTTCTTGACTGGGCAGTTATCTTTTGACATCTTAAGCCTCACCTTCAGACACTTCTTTGCCGTCCATCAGTGTCTGGGTGACAACCACAGTCTTTGTTCGGAAATATTTTGTAGGTTTCTTCTCAACAACAACCTCAACAAAAAAAAGCACAGATGAAAACAAAGATCCATTGGATACTGTAACTACAACACAGTCATATCACTTTCCATATCAGGGCTCAGTTTTCCAAAGGCATCTTAAGGCTAAGTTCATCGTTAGAACCTTTTGTAGGAGCATCATTAAATTTCAGCCATTTCCCAAAACCATCGTTATTAACGTTGCACTTGGTTCGGAATCTAACGCCTGCCTCAGTCCACTCGTAGAACAGCTAAGTGGGTCGTTAGATGCCAGTGAAATGTATTCATGGATGCCAGTGGAGGCTCCTCAGATGAGGAAGGGAGGACCATCCTCCTCAGTGAATTTCATAAAAATAATGAAACATTAAAAAATGTATCCTTTTTAGATAAAGCTATACAAAATATATTCACGTCACCAAATAATAGATTAAAAAAACACTGTTTTGCAATGAAGGTCTACAGTAGCCTCAACAACACTCTATAGGGTAGCAACATGGTGTAGCTGGAGGACAGCTAGCTTCCATCCTCCTCTGGGTACATTGACTTCAATACAAAACCTAGGAGGCTCGTGGTTCTCACCCTCTTCCATAGACTTACACAGTAATTATGACAACTTCCAGAGGACGTCGTCCAACCTATTAGAGCTCTTGCAGCATGAACTGACATGTTGTCCACCCAATCAAAGGATCAGAGAATGAATCTAGTACTGAAAGCACAAGCTACAGTTAGCTAGCACTGCAGTGCATAACATGTGGTGAGTAGTTGACTCAAAGAGAGAGAAAGACTAAATTTCAACAGGTATTAACAGACAGAGTGAGAGAGCGAGAGATAGCTATATTTCGTAATATTGTTCTCTCACTTTCCCTTACTTAGCTAGCAAATGCAGCTAGCTAGTTTAGCCTACTCAAACACCCGGTTCAAACAGAGGGATGCCATGTTTGCTAGCTGGCTATGACTATCGAACACTGGAACTCTTCCAAGTCAAGGTACGCTTTTGGTTTTACTAATTTATTGCCACGCGGCCCGCCGGTGTAACTGCCAAACTGCTTACTGACTGTACGCTGTGCTGCATGATTGTAGCGGGTTTACTAACGCGTTAGTTCTATTAGCTATGTTGACTATGATGTTACTTTAGCTAATATGGTGACAACGATGTAGGCTGTGTGTAGTGGTTAGGTTATGATAAGATGGTTTGGCTTGGAAAGGTGTTTTCGCCTGGTCACAGACAGCTGATGTGTTACATTTTACATTTTAGTCATTTAGCAGACGCTCTTATCCAGAGCGACTTACAGTTAGTGAGTGCATACATTTTTCATACTTGTGCATTGAAGTCCACAAGCGAAGGGAAAAGGTGAGAGGAGGAGAGCCCGTAGATGCAAGAAGGAATACAACGAGCTGTTTGTAAATGGCTATGAAAGTGAACTGTTTGCGTGTGATCATTCTGCTGATTCTGTTGAAAAATGTTTCTTAAACGGAAGCAAACGGGACTAATTGGGGATAAACATACCTGATTTTGTCCAATAGAAAACACTTGTTTGCAACTGTTGGACTAATGATTACACCCTAGATCAGCTAGATGCAGGCAAGAGTGTGCAAGCCGATATTGAATGTGTCACTGTTTGTCCACATGTTACTGTCTGTCACCTCAAATATTTATCTTGACCTGTGTGCACCTACGTTATAAACTTTCATTCATAGGCTAGGTTGTACGTAGCAACCTCATAATGGGTATAGGGAAAATTTGAGTATAATGTAGTAGTCTAAACCTATCGCTGTTACATTGAACTGGGTGAATGGAATATGAATGACAGTCATCCAACATGCTGTAATAGAAATAGGGCCATGCTCATTACAAAAATAATCGTCCTCCCTCATCTTAAACGGCACCGACCGCCACTGATGGATGCCAAGGGAAGCCAGGCTTTCCCCAAAAAATTTACCAATAAACAAATACTACTACATCTAGCTATATATTGAACTTCCATCCTTGCAGGCCAGAGGCACAATGTATGAATTTATGGTTGGATCAGATTTGCCGTTATAATCATTGGCCAGTACGGAGAATTAAGTAAAACCACAAGTCCAAATCCCTATCTCTGTCCATGGCTAATTTAGGAAAGGGACAAAAGGCTAATGTTAACTAGCTGGCTAATCGTTGCCATTGAAAGTAAGTTAGGCTAGCGAGCAAGCATTTTAGCCAGGTAGCCTAGGACAACAAAAACTAATAGCGTGTACAATATGACAGTCATAGACCGTTTCAGCAACATGAAAAAAAGGAGGATGGCATTGGCGTTTCTCAACAAGTAGGGTGAGTCAACATGTTTCTTCTACTTCCGCACGCACACAGAAATCAGTATTATGGAAAGCCACATTACTAAATTGTTTTTGGAATCTTTTAGTTGTCACTGTATTAGGCTAAACATAGGTGATTTGATTATGTTGAAATGGTGCTGGAATAGTGGAGGCAGCTGGGTCATCCCTACAATGTGGTGTCTTTTCTGTCCCCAAGAAATAGCACTTCTTATTTAGGGTAAAATGTGGATTCCAAAAGGCTTTAAATACAAGGTCAGGTGTCCTTTTACCTTAAAAACACAAAAATATGGATCTTGAAAGGGAATTTTATGTATTCAACACTTTTTTTCAGAGGATGTAGGCGTTTTTGCCATGTCCCCGGGTGTTCTTCATTAACTTCCACAAATATAAGCCTTAAAATAATAAAATTTAAAATATTTCATTATTTTATAGTCCTAGTTAAATTATCTCTCATCAATAGCATTTCTTTCATGATTATTGTATTTATCATTTTTTAAAGATTATTTGTGTCCCTGATATCACTTTACACCCTGTTAGTTTGTTGTAATTCTCCATTTAAGAAAACAACTCCTTTCTAAAATGACACCACATTCAGGACGTGTAATTTCTTTGGTGGGAAAACAATGGTGCCAAGGTACATAAATATACTGAAAAAAATATAAATGCAACATGCAACAATTAACAATTTTACTTAGTTACAGTTCATATAAGGAAATCAGTCAATTGAAATACATTAATTAGGCCCTGACTGGGCAGGGGCGCAGCCATGGGTGGGCCTGGGAGGGCATAGGCCCACCCACTGGGGAGCCAGGCACAGCCAATCAGAATGAGTTTTTCCCCACAAAATGGCTTTATTACAGACAGAAATACTCCTTAGTTTCATCAGCTGTCCAGGTGGCTGGTCTCAGATGATCACGCAGGTGAAGAAGCTGGATGTGGATGTCCTGGACTGGCGTGGTCTGCGGTTGTAAGGCCGGTTAGACTTACTGCCAAATTCTCTAAAACGACATTGGAGGCGGCTTATTGTAGAGAAATGAACATAATATTCTCTGGCAACAGCTCTGGTGGACATTCCTGCAGCCAGCATGCCAATTGCACACTCCCTCAAAACTTGAGACATCTGTGGCATTGTGTTGTGTAACAAAACTGCACATTTTAGAGTAGCCTTTTATTGTCCCCAGCACAAGGTGCACCTGTATAATGATCATGCTGTTTAATCAGCTTCTTGATATGCCACACCTGTCAGGTGGATGGATTATCTTGGCAAAGGAGAAATGTTCACTAACAGGGATGTAAACAAATTTGTGCCCATAATTTGAGAGAAATAAGCTTTTTGTGCATATGGAAGAATTTGGAGATCTTTTATTTCAGCTCATGTGAAACATGGGACCAACACTTTACATGTTGCGTTTGTATTTTTGTTCATTATTTAAACACTCAGTTGTATCTATTTTTCCATGTTGTTAGTCTGTATGTCCCACTCATAAATTAACCAAATTTCAAAATGTTAAAATATGTTTGATAGTGAAGTTAAAATCCTGTTCAAGTGTTCACCATTATGCTAGCTCAATCTTGCTCACTCACAGAGCTATGGCTAATTTGGGCTCCAAATTTCCACCCTGTTAGGATTATGCATCTAACAGGTTGGAAATGCACAGAAAAAAGAATTGCCTGAGCTTGACCAATATGTTTTTCTGAAATTCAAACATGTCCTTTTTCTGATCGAATACTAAATACAAAATATGTACTTTTATTTCCAGAAGTTATGAGGTCCTGTTATGAGGTCCTGGCGGTAACTCTCCGATGTTCTAAATCAATAGTTGTTTAGTAGTCCGAAAATGTCAGAAACATTAACTTGAACAGTAACGGTTTGTTACATGCAATATGCTTTTTGGACTCCACAGGACAGATGTTGCTTTCCGGTTTTGTAATGAAACAAAAGGTGTGGTTGAATTTATTCTGCCACTGTGTCTTATTGTCTCTGCCTTAGGCCTATATATCACTGTGGCAAGGCATATGAACTAACAGGTTATAGAGCCAACGCAATTATCACAACACATAGGTTGTAAGATTGCTTTTTTACCCTATCTTCCCCAGTGGTTTTACCCACGCACCGCTACTGATCAACAGATGGCTCAACGGCGCACTTAGCGAACGTTCTCTCTTTCGGCCGTTGTAGGAAAGATGCATTGTTAGAATACTTGTAAGCCTAAATTCAGTCGCTATCGGGAAACCGGGCCCAGACCTGAGCCCTTGTACATACAGTATTTGCATGAAAACTAGTGTGCATCTAATTTGCAAATATAATGATTCCTATGCCTCATAGAAAAAGCAAGCGAACAAAATAACAATGCCATCTGTTTAATGTCTGCCATTTTAATGCCCATCAAAGATATGCTTTTATTAGAGCTGTATAGCTTGATAGTTTTATCATCTCAACATACTCAGTTCCTGATCCCTACAGGTCTTGTACACTGTGAAAAAAAAAAATCTGGGGTGAAATTAAATGGACAAAAACAAAGCAACAACCGAAATATACTTAATAAAAATGAGTTCAAGTCGTTTCAATGATTTGTTAATTTCATTTTACCCCCCAAAAAATAATATTTATGAGGATAACCAAAGAGATAGAAGTGT